TGCTGACTACAGCTCCCAAGATGCATCATACTTGATCCTTCATGCTAGAGCTGCTGGAAGTTGTATTCCTCAGAGATGCAGGACCATCTATTCTCCACTCCTGTAGTCACTGCTTGGGGCTTAATGAGGACTGGGTTTTTTCTAAAGCAGCAGGCTTGGAAGCTGATACATGCTCTGTGCAATCTTTCAAGTTTGTTGGTGTGCAATTCTCCTCTTCTTTGCAGGACAGCCCATCATTGCCCAAGGTTGGGTTTTAAGTTACCACCATCCCACCCACCTTGGAATAGGTTTCCCAGAGGCTGGAGAAGGAGGAGGCACGAAGCAAGATGCTCTCCATTCCACGGGCCATAATCCTTTTCATGGCACGACTGACCCTCTTGATGGTGCTAAGGGAAAAAAATGTTAACTTATCCAGGTTCATTTTGAATACTCATCACAATTCTGGTTATTTGGAGCACATTCCTTCTTCTGGGTACATGATATGCTTCTTCTGCAATATGAAACGGGATGTGGTTTTGCAGATGACAAGGCCTGCTCTGTGGATGACATTATTATGAGACCTCACAGAGATCTGGTTCATGATTGGACACTACCATATAAGTAGTCCAGTTCATGTTGTATTTTAGGAAATTCAAATTCTCCATGGAGATCATTATCTACTGAAGTGCTTAGAAGGCTATATTGGGTGCAAAGCAGAGGAACCTGTCAAAATGAAGTTGTCCCCAAACTTCTTCTTCCTTGGTTGGTATCTGAGATGGAAGGGGAAGAGAATCATATGTGCTGTTTGACAGAGGTGGGAGATTTAGAACTGCTTTGTATTGCTCAATTGCTTTGCCTCTAATGGCTTCATCTTTTTTCCAGGATGGTGGCTGGCCACACAGTGTTGGACCTCTAGAGGTGAGTCAGTATGGTTCCTTGCCCTCCTTTCCCTGAATGCTGAGAGGTTCTAGGGGTGGCTTAGCTTACCTGAGGTTGTATTCCTTGGAGGACGAGGTCCTTGGATGCTTATGGACCTTCTGAAATAAATGTTTACACTTGGAGGATTTAAGCTTAGACAGAGGTATAATGTAAGCACTCCAACAAGCAGTCACATCCAGAGATGATTATTTTCATAGTACGCTTTGACAACAACGGTCAGTCAAGGTATTTATTTCAAAGGTCTCTTCTGCAGTGAAATTTGGGAGGAATCCGTTGCTCTTCAGGGCCTCAGGGGAGCATCTTTCCCAGTCCTACTTGGAAGTGCCATGCCTGGATGGCTGGCATTGCACAAAATGCTTAACTTGTCTGGTTAAAGCTCAGGATTGCATCTGCAGTATGCATGAAGTTTGATTAGTTTTAATCAGCTCAAGGCAGTTTAATGGGTTAAGCGTGGGTTTATGGTTCTCAGTCCACGTAATTAGATTATTAGATGCACCAGCTGAGCTATCAGGATAGGTATGCATGAGTGCCCTTCTGCATAAGCATCACTGGGGGAGAACCAACTGAAAAGAAGCTGCGGTGCTGTTTTTGTGTATCTTTGCTGCACTTCTGGTGTTTTGGGTGAAACTTTCTGTGTGCAGTTTGCAAATGATGACCTGTTGTTGGCTGACAATTTGAATGATTTGCAGGGAATATTGAAAATATTGTCTGATAAAACACTAATCTGAAGGTTAATGTACCGAAGACCAGGGGGGTTGTATTTGGCAAAGTAAACAGAGTGAAGAGCTATAAGTGATGATGAAAAACTGTAGCAAGTAGACAATTCTGTGCATCTTGGCAAAAAGCATTGCTATGGCTGAAATGGGAGGAGAGTTTATTTGTAGGACACCTCTCCCTGACCTCAGAAACATGATGGGGACCAGATTTCCTTGCCAAAAAGAAAGAAGTATTGCTCACCATCAACAGACAGAATGAAAGTGATGAGAGGCAGGGAAAATCCAGCCCCTTGCAACTGACTAAGGGAGTGTTTTTAACATGTGGTCCAAGGACCCTTATGTTGAAAAAGAATATAATATTAAAATCCCATCAAATAATCATGAGAAGCAGTAGTGCCAGAGGCTACGTCAATTTTAATTTTTAATGCAGTAAATATCGATAAATATAACCCTTTCAAACAAAAGCTCTTTGGGGGTCCTCCATAATTTTTAAAAGTGAGAAGGGCCCTGAGAGAAAAAAGTTTATTAAACTCTGGACTAAGGCAAACCTAATTGGCCCTTAACCCCATCAATGGTTCTCCCCTTGCTAAGGAGAAACAATCTCTATTTCCAGCATCCCTGATAGGTTTAGTGTTTCTTAACAATAAAACAGCTCTCTTACACAATCAATCTATCCAGTTTTCCCTATATGGTCCCAAGATCCTGAGAGTGAATCAGAGCCCTAGAATTTCCCACCCCACACTTCAAAATCCTTAGAAAAGACCTTCCTTTCTATTGTTCCCTGTTCCTCTTGTGATTGTTGTTTCAACATGTGCAATCTATTTCCTCAGAATTGGGCTCCATCTTTCTCACCCACCACATTTCCTAAAGATGGGGAAATGGAGGGAGACCTTTTAAGAGCTCTGAGTCCTGGTAGAAGGTAGTTGACAGCATATGGCTTGCTGTGAAGAATGAATGTCAAAAGGAGTGAAAAGGGCAGTTTTGTACCAGAGTGAGCTTCTGCCCCCTTTTCAAGGGGGTTCGAGGGGGGCAATGACAAACAAACAAGTTCTGCTGCTTTTGTACATGGACTGCTTTTGTACACACCGTATGAAGCACATTGAGGCC